GGTTGGCAATTCAACTTCAGGAATGGTAATGTCTACTTTGCCTTCTACAATAGGAGATTTTACATTAAGCGATCGTAGTTTATCGTCAGGTAATTTAACGTCTACAGATGGCAATACAACTTCCGGCAATTTCGCAGTTAATTTGCCTTTTCCTTTAGGAGTTTTTACGCTCACTGTTGGCAATTCGACCTCCGAAATAGCAATATCGACTTTGCCATCAGATTTAAGTGATTTTACATTTAGTGATGGAAGTTCAACATCCGGTATCGTAAAATCTAATTTGCCTTTTCCTTTAGGAGATTTTACATTTAGTGATAGTAGTTCAACATCAGATAAGTTTACGTCTACAGATGGCAATTCCACTCCTGGCAATTTTGCAGTTAGCTTGCCTTGTCCTTTGGTAGATTTTATAATTAGTGATGGTGGTTCAACGTCAGGTAATTTGACGTCTACAGATGGCAATTCAACCTCTGGCAATTTCGCAGTTAGCTTGCCTTGTCCTTTAGGAGATTTTATAATTAGTGATGGTAGTTCAACATCAGGTAAGTTTACGTCTACAGATGGCAATTCAACCTCTGGCAATTTTGCAGTTAGCTTACCTTGTCCTTTAGGAGTTTTTACGCTCACTGTTGGCAATTCGACCTCCGAACTAGCAATATCGACATTGCCATCAGATTTAAGTGATTTTACATTTAGTGATGGTAGTTCAACATCCGGTATCGTAAAGTCTAATTTGCCGTCTTCTTTAGGAGATTTTACATTTAGTGATGGTAGTTTAACATCAGATAAGTTTACGTCTACAGATGGCAATTCAACCTCTGGCAATTTTACAGTTAGCTTGCCTTGTCCTTTGGTAGATTTTATAATTAGTGATGGTGGTTCAACGTCAGGTAATTTGACGTCTACAGATGGCAATTCAACCTCTGGCAATTTTACAGTTAGCTTGCCTTGTCCTTTGGTAGATTTTACATTTAGTGATGGTAATTCAACGTCAGGCAATTTGACGTCTATTGATGGCAATTCAACCTCAGGCAATTTTGCAGTTAGCTTGCCTTGTCCATTAAGAGTTTTTACGCTCGCTGTTGGCAATTCGACCTCCGAAATCTTAATATTGACATTGCTATCAGATTTAGGAGATTTTATAATTAGTGATGGTTTTTCAACATCTGGTAAATTTACGTCAGCTGATGGTAAAACATCCTCTGGCAATTTCGCAGTTAATTTGCCTTCTACATTGGGAGATTTTACATTAAGCGATCGTAGTTCAACATCTGGTAAATTGACGTCTACTGATGGTAAAACATCCTCTGGCAATTTTGCGGTTGGCTTGCCTTGTCCTTTGGTAGATTTTACATTTAGCGATGGTAGTTCAACGTCAGGCAATTTGACGTCTACTGATGGCAATTCAACCTCTGGCAATTTCGCAGTTAGCTTGCCTTGTCCTTTAGGAAATTTTATAATTAGTGATGGTGGTTCAACGTCAGGTAATTTGACGTCTACAGATGGCAATTCAACCTCTGGCAATTTTGAAGTTAGCTTACCTTGTCCTTTGGTAGATTTTACATTTAGTGATGGTAATTCAACGTCAGGCAATTTAACGTCTACAGACGGCAATTCCACTCCTGGCAATTTCGCAGTTAATTTGCCTTTTCCTTTAGGAGTTTTTACGCTCACTGTTGGCAATTCGACCTCCGAACTAGCAATATCGACATTGCCATCAGATTTAAGTGATTTTACATTTAGTGATGATAGTTCAACGTCCGGTATCGTAAAATCTAATTTGCCTTCTTCTTTAGGAGATTTTACATTTAGTGATGGTAGTTCAACATAAGGTAAGTTTACGTCTACAGATGGCAATTCAACTTCTTGCAATTTTGCAGTTAGCTTGCCTTGTCTTTTGGTAGATTTTATAATTAGTGATGGTGGTTCAACGTCAGGTAATTTGACGTCTACAGATGGCAATTCAACCTCTGGCAATTTTGAAGTTAGCTTACCTTGTCCTTTGGTAGATTTTACATTTAGTGATGGTAATTCAACGTCAGGCAATTTAACGTCTACAGACGGCAATTCCACTCCTGGCAATTTCGCAGTTAATTTGCCTTTTCCTTTAGGAGTTTTTACGCTCACTGTTGGCAATTCGACCTCCGAACTAGCAATATCGACATTGCCATCAGATTTAAGTGATTTTACATTTAGTGATGATAGTTCAACGTCCGGTATCGTAAAATCTAATTTGCCTTCTTCTTTAGGAGATTTTACATTTAGTGATGGTAGTTCAACATAAGGTAAGTTTACGTCTACAGATGGCAATTCAACTTCTTGCAATTTTGCAGTTAGCTTGCCTTGTCCTTTGGTAGATTTTATAATTAGTGATGGTGGTTCAACGTCAGGTAATTTGACGTCTACAGATGGCAATTCAACCTCTGGCAATTTTACAGTTAGCTTACCTTGTCCTTTGGTAGATTTTATATTTAGTGATGGTAGTTCAACGTCAGGTAAATTTACGTCTACAGACGGCAATTCCACTTCTGGCAAATTTGCAGTGATCTTGCCTTGTCCTTTAGGAGTTTTTACGCTCACTGTTGGCAATTCGACCTCCGAACTAGCAATATCGACATTGCCATCAGATTTAAGTGATTTTACATTTAGTGATGATAGTTCAACGTCCGGTATCGTAAAATCTAATTTGCCTTCTTCTTTAGGAGATTTTACATTTAGTGATGGTAGTTCAACGTCAGGTAATTTAACATCTATTGATTGCAATTCAACGTCTGGTAAACTAATGTCCTTATGAGTCATTTTTATGTCCAATTCAGGTAATTCTACATTCGTAATTTGTACATCTTGTGCCTGAAGGCCTTCGAAGGAGTCTCTCTCCTTTTCCAAAAATATAGATAATTCTGGCATGGACACTAAATCTTTTTCCGGGAATTTACCTACTACAACTTTTTTTGATTTACCCATTAGTTTTCCAATAAATGACGTCGATTTCTTCATTCCAATATCTATATTCGACGTTTGCAGGTCTTTTGTTTCTAAGCCTACAAAAATAAATCCATCCTTTTGGCTTTTGTCAGCTGGTTTGCTTTTTCTTTTAGGAGGTTTTACATTCACGGTTGGCAATTCAACTTCAGGAATGGTAATGTCTACTTTGCCTTCTACAATAGGAGATTTTACATTAAGCGATCGTAGTTTCACGTCAGGTAATTTAACGTTTACAGATTGCAATACAACTTCCGGCAATTTCGCAGTTAGCTTGCCTTGTCCTTTAGGAGTTTTTACGCTCACTGTTAGCAATTCGACCTCCGAACTAGCAATATCGACTTTGCCATCAGATTTAAGTGATTTTACATTTAGTGATGGTAGTTCAACATCCGGTATCGTAAAATCTAATTTGCCGTCTTCTTTAGGAGATTTTATTTTAAGCGATTGTAGTTCAACATCTGGTAAATTGACATCTACTGATGGTAAAACATCCTCTGGCAATTTCGCAGTTTGCTTGCCTTGTCCTTCAGGAGATTTTACATTTAGTGATGGTAGTTCAACATCAGATAAGTTTACGTCTACAGATGGCAATTCAACCTCAGGCAATTTTGCAGTTAGCTTGCCTTGTCCATTAAGAGTTTTTACGCTCGCTGTTGGCAATTCGACCTCCGAAATCTTAATATTGACATTGCTATCAGATTTAGGAGATTTTATAATTAGTGATGGTTTTTCAACATCTGGTAAATTTACGTCAGCTGATGGTAAAACATCCTCTGGCAATTTCGCAGTTAATTTGCCTTCTACATTGGGAGATTTTACATTAAGCGATCGTAGTTCAATATCTGGTAAATTGACGTCTACTGATGGTAAAACATCCTCTGGCAATTTCGCAGTTAATTTGCATTCTACATTGGGAGATTTTACATTTTGTAATGGTAGTTCAACGTCAGGTAATTTAACGTCTACAGATGGCAATTCCACTCCTGGCAATTTTGCAGTTAGCTTGCCTTGTCCTTTAGTAGATTTTATAATTAGTGATGGTGGTTCAACGTCAGGTAATTTGACGTCTACAGATGGCAATTCAACCTCTGGCAATTTTGCAGTTAGCTTACCTTGTCCATTAAGAGTTTTTACGCTCACTGTTGACAATTCGACCTCCGAAATAGCAATATCGACATTGCCATCAGATTTAAGTGATTTTATATTTAGTGATGGTAGTTCAACATCCGGTATCGTAAAGTCTAATTTGCCGTCTTCTTTAGGAGATTTTACATTTAGTGATGGTAGTTCAACATCAAATAAGTTTACGTCTACAGACGGCAATTCCACTCCTGGCAATTTTGCAGTTAGCTTGCCTTGTCCTTTGGTAGATTTTAGAATTAGTGATGGTGGTTCAACGTCAGGTAATTTGACGTCTACAGATGGCAATTCAACCTCTGGCAATTTCGCAGTTAGCTTGCCTTGTCCTTTGGTAGATTTTACATTTAGTGATGGTAATTCAACGTCAGGCAATTTGACGTCTATTGATGGCAATTGAACATCTGTCAATTTTGCAGTTAGCTTGCCTTTTCCTTTAGAAGTTTTTACGCTCACTGTTGGCAATTCGACCTCCGAACTAGCAATATCGACTTTGCCATCAGATTTAAGTGATTTTACATTTAGTGATGGTAGTTCAACATCCGGTATCGTAAAGTCTAATTTGCCGTCTTCTTTAGGAGATTTTACATTTAGTGATGGTAGTTCAACATCAGATAAGTTTACGTCTACAGATGGCAATTCCACTCCTGGCAATTTTGCAGTTAGCTTGCCTTGTCCTTTGGTAGATTTTATAATTAGTGATGGTGGTTCAACGTCAGGTAATTTGACGTCTACAGATGGCAATTCAACCTCTGGCAATTTTGCAGTTAGCTTACCTTGTCCTTTGGTAGATTTTACATTTAGTGATGGTAATTCAACGTCAGGCAATTTGACGTCTATTGATGGCAATTGAACATCTGTCAATTTTGCAGTTAGCTTGCCTTTTCCTTTAGAAGTTTTTACGCTCACTGTTGGCAATTCGACCTCCGAACTAGCAATATCGACTTTGCCATCAGATTTAAGTGATTTTACATTTAGTGATGGTAGTTCAACATCCGGTATCGTAAAGTCTAATTTGCCGTCTTCTTTAGGAGATTTTACATTTAGTGATGGTAGTTCAACATCAGATAAGTTTACGTCTACAGATGGCAATTCAACCTCTGGCAATTTTGCAGTTAGCTTGCCTTGTCCATTAAGAGTTTTTACGCTCGCTGTTGGCAATTCGACCTCCGAAATCGTAATATTGACATTGCTATCAGATTTAGGAGATTTTATAATTAGTGATGGTAATTCAACGTCAGGTAATTTGACGTCTACAGATGGCAATTCAACCTCTGGCAATTTTGAAGTTAGCTTACCTTGTCCTTTGGTAGATTTTACATTTAGTGATGGTAATTCAACGTCAGGCAATTTGACGTCTATTGATGGCAATTGAACATCTGTCAATTTTGCAGTTAGCTTGCCTTTTCCTTTAGAAGTTTTTACGCTCACTGTTGGCAATTCGACCTCCGAACTAGCAATATCGACTTTGCCATCAGATTTAAGTGATTTTACATTTAGTGATGGTAGTTCAACATCCGGTATCGTAAAGTCTAATTTGCCGTCTTCTTTAGGAGATTTTACATTTAGTGATGGTAGTTCAACATCAGATAAGTTTACGTCTACAGATGGCAATTCCACTCCTGGCAATTTTGCAGTTAGCTTGCCTTTTCTTTTGGTAGATTTTATAATTAGTGATGGTGGTTCAACGTCAGGTAATTTGACGTCTACAGATGGCAATTCAACCTCTGGCAATTTTGAAGTTAGCTTACCTTGTCCTTTGGTAGATTTTACATTTAGTGATGGTAATTCAACGTCAGGCAATTTAACGTCTACAGACGGCAATTCCACTCCTGGCAATTTCGCAGTTAATTTGCCTTTTCCTTTAGGAGTTTTTACGCTCACTGTTGGCAATTCGACCTCCGAACTAGCAATATCGACATTGCCATCAGATTTAAGTGATTTTACATTTAGTGATGATAGTTCAACGTCCGGTATCGTAAAATCTAATTTGCCTTCTTCTTTAGGAGATTTTACATTTAGTGATGGTAGTTCAACATAAGGTAAGTTTACGTCTACAGATGGCAATTCCACTCCTGGCAATTTTGCAGTTAGCTTGCCTTGTCCTTTGGTAGATTTTATAATTAGTGATGGTGGTTCAACGTCAGGTAATTTGACGTCTACTGATTGCAATTCAACCTCTGGTATATTTATGTCTACTTTGCCTTCTATATTAGGAGATTTTACATTTAGCGATGGTAGTTCAATGTCAGGCAATTTGACGTCTAATGATGGCAATTCCACTCCTGGCAATTTTGCAGTTAGCTTGCCTTGTCCTTTGGTAGATTTTACATTTAGTGATGGTAGTTCATCGTCAGGTAAATTGACGTCTATTGATGGCAATGCAACCTCTGGCAATTTCGCAGTTAATTTGCCTTCCCCTTTAGGAGATTTTACAATTAGCGATGCCAATTCAACGTCAGGTAATTTGACATCTACTGATGGCAATTCCACTCCTGGCAATTTTGCAGTTAGCTTGCCTTGTTTATTAAGAGTTTTTACGCTTACTGTTGGCAATTCGACCTCCGAAATCGTAATATCGACATTGCCATCAGATTTAGGAGATAATACATTTAGCGATGGAAGTTCAACGTTAGGTAATTCATCTTCTACTGATGGCAATTCAACGTCTGGTAATTTCGTAGTTAAGTTGTCTTTTCCTTTAGGATTTTTTAAATTTACTGTTGGCAATTCAACCTCTGTTATCGTATTGTCTATTTTGCTATCTATATTAAGAGATTTTACATTCACTGAAGGTGGTATAACATTAGATAATTTAGTGTTTAATGATGGCAATTCAACCTCTGGCAAAATTATGTTAACTTTACCTTCTTTTTTACGTGTCTTTTTATTCAGAGATGGTATTTCGACTTTAGGTATGTTAACATTTGTTGAAGGCATTTCAACCATAGTCAAATTTTTGTCCACTTTACTTTCTCCTTTAGTAAATGTTACATTCAGTGATTGTAGTTCAACCTCGGGTAATGTTTCGTCGATTAGACTGGCCTTTTTTATATCCTCATCTAGGATGTCTTTTGCGTGTTTTTCATCTATTGTTTTTGATTCATCATAGATATTTCTTTCCTTTTCCAGAAATTGTGATATTTCTGCTTTTATATCAACTTCAGTTACTAAATCTTTTTCTGGAAATTTTTCTACACTGCTTTTTTTGGTTTTCCCTATGAATCTACCTAAGAATGACTTCGATTTAGATTTGTCCATATAGATTATTGGTTTTTGTTCGTCTGATATTTTTACGTCTATATATGGCAATTCAACACCTTGCAATTTTCTGTGTACATTGTCTCTTCTGATAAGCGCTGTTTTATTGTCCGACGTTTGTTTAATTTCTGGTAATATAACGTCAAATTGACTGGGATTTTCAGTCTTTTTTATATCGAAGCCCGGTATTTCAACAACGGTATTTATTGTTTTTATATACATTTTATTTATTAATTTCGGATCATTTTGGGTGATTTTTGGAAAAGAGTTATTCGGTATTTCTGGTTTTCCATACTCTCTGTGACTACTAATATCTATCTCCATTTGTTCTATATTGGGTAATTGTACATTAGTCATTTTCGATACATCAATGGCTTTAGGGTTTTTATGTTTGTTACTTTTGTTTGTAATTTGAATATCTTTTATTTTTCTTGGCTTGGGTGTTGGTGGCGATCCTAATTCTATTTTTTGAGCTATATCTTGTTTGTATGTATCTGTTTTGAATAATTCCTGTTTTGTTGTTTTGAATTCATGTTTATTAAGGTTTTTGCTTTTTCCCATTAGTTTTGTTAACAATGATTGTGGTTTTTCTTTCTTTAATTGTATGTTTCGTTTTATTTTTTTTTGATATGTAATTTCGTCTGAGAAGTTTTTGCCTTCTTTAGTTTTTTCTTTCATTTCACAATCTGATATACTTTTAATAATATTTTCGTTTGTTTCCTTGGGCTTTCTAACTTTTGGTATAGGTTTTCTAGTGTCATCTATTTCTAAGTTTTGTGGTTTTTCTTTTATTTTTTTACTATTAATTTGTAAAGTTGGTTTTTTTATATGTGGTGCATTTTTTTGTTCAGTATATTCAATGTAACTATTTTCAGTTTGTGCAATATCACCTTGGTTATTTAAATTTGATAATCCTTTTACAATAAATTCGTTTCTAAATGATTCATTTCTTCCGGATGGTATTATTTTTTGCGTATTAAAACTTGTTGATTCAAAATTATTGTTTATTTTCTGCTCTTTTTTTAAATAAGATTCAGAATATTTTTTTTCCATTGATTTTTCATTTATATTAGTGATATCTATGTTATTATATGGCATAGAGTTTTCTTCATAATTTGTTTCACTCTTTACAAATGGCAATTCACTTTTTACTTGACTTTTATCTTTTAACTTTCTTGGAATGATAAGTGGTAATTGAATTGTAGTGTCACGTTTAATTTCTCTACCTAGTATGCTCATCCCTTTTTCACTTCCAGATACGAGTTCATTATAAGTATTAATTTTATTTTCATTGAATTTACTTTTAGTTTTTATTTTTTGTAATGATTTTATGTCACTATTACTAGGCTTATATTCTATACTTTCATTTTGGCCACCAGATTCAAAATCTGTCATTTCATTTTCAATAATATGTTCTTTTCCGTTAATAATGATTTTTTTCACAGTTCGAGTTTTACTAACAATGGTTGATTGTGAATTATTTTTTATTGTTTCTGTGGATTTATTCACTATACTTGGACTGTCTATAACATCAAATGATTTTTTATACGATTGATTGTCAATTTTTCTTTCTATTTGTTCTGAATTTTCATTATATGGATCATCATCTACGACTTCTTCAACTATTGTTTCTTTTCCATCTTCTATATATATTTTTCGTATTATTTTTCTTGTCCTGCTTACTTTAAACTCCGAAAATATAATGTTAGTTTCTAAATTTTGATTNACTTTAAACTCCGAAAATACAATGTTAGTTTCTAAATTTTGATTTATATTTCGGAACATTATTTGATCTGGTACCTTATTTTTTTCAAAATCTCTGTTATAAATCTTTCTACGCGTATATAATAGGTCATCTTTTTCTTCAATTTGCTGTTTATTATTATGAACATTTTTTTTAATTAAATTTTGTGATGTTTCTTTCATAGGTTCACCCATTTCATTTGTTTGAAGGATATTTGCAACTCGTAAATTTATATTGTTCAATAGCGAGCTTTCACCATGATTATTATTTTCATTAAGAGCTAACTCTTTAGAGCCACATAGATATGAACTTTGACTATCTAATCTTCTGAACTTAACCAAATGAACCTTATTATCGTCATTTTCGATATTAATACCTTTGTTTGATTCTACATACTCTCCTTCATTATCAATTATTTTTGATTTTTTACCAAAAACATTTGAAAATTTGAAAGTAAATAACTTAGATTTTTTATCAATTGTATTATCTATGTTATTATGTTCGTCATTTATTTCTATGTTCGTATTAGGAGTATCAATAGTTAGTTGTGTATGTTCAATATCTGGAATTATGTTTTGACTCTCATTGGAAGATGATTTGATTTTATAATCATTTTTCATTTCTTGTAAAATCNGTCATTGGAAGATGATTTGATTTTATAATCATTTTTCATTTCTTGTAAAATCTTACGAACTAGTTTTGGGCTTCTAAGAGTATCACTTCTCTGAAGAATGTTGTTTTGACTTACCTCAATTTTAGTATTATC